ACCCACCCCCTTTCATCTGATCAAATAAATTGGCTTTTTTTCACTAACTTCTTCCTCTCATTCCCATACTTCCATTTCTTCAGTTTTTCTTCTGCTACAACTTTCTTGAATCCTAAAGAAACTACATATTTTGTCACTTCTTTTGTTTTGAAGTTGAAGAAAGTTGACTATAAGGTATGTTATTTTTCACTCAATTTTCACTCCTAATAATAAAATCATATGATTCATGTTTATTTTCTAGTTTTATTTTTTGCATGTTCTTATCATATGTAGCTATAAACATTCCTTTCTATTGCCTCTTTAATTCAAGTTCTAACACCTAATTGTCTACCTATAAGAACATGTAAATCAAGCTAGAGAGACTTTATGCTTTGTTTTCTCTTTGTTTTTTCTTGTTTAATATATGTTTCAAGAATCTATTAATATATCCTACTCCTTAATTTTTAATCTTCTTTTTTTTTCTTGGTTTTATTGATTCCAAAACTAATATGATCTTTTTACCTTTTCTTTTTCTTTTTATAATATAGTTTGTTTGAAGAATGAGGAATCCTAGTTCACTCAAGCAAGAATTTCTCAAGAAATGGATAAAGGGTCTACAAATATGCAGTGAAACAAAGAAAAAAATGAGCATAATTGAGAGAAAAAAAGCTATAAAATTATCAGCAGATATAGCAATGGCTTCAACAAGAAAATCTACTACTTATTGGAGTCATTCCCTTTTGGCCAATGCTTCAAAAGATGATACTAACAAAATTATCATAAATCATATTCTTGGAAATGATGATATTTCTAAGAGATCAATGATATTCAAGAAATCTTCAATGGGATTATTGGCTATGTCCCAAAAGAGCATTAGATGCAAGAAAATTGTAACCAAAAGTTGCAAGATTTCAAGACAACGACAGCTAAATTTCAGTCCCAAACAAGTTGAGGTCGGCCGCAGGATTTCAAGAAAAGGTAGAAAAATGATCTCTCCAATTTCTATAGCAAGAAAATTGGTGAAGAATAGAACTAAAGTTCTTAAAAGTCTTGTTCCTGGTGGAGAATATATGGATAATGTTTCTTTAATTAAAGAAACCCTAGATTATATCATTTCACTTAGAGTTCAAGTTGATGTTATGAGACATCTTGCTAATGCTAGTGAGATTACTAATCCTAAAGCAAGTTTATAGTTTTTTTACCTTTTTTCTTTCAATATTTCTAAATATTGAAGTAAAAAATTCCTTTTTTTTTTTGCTTCCGTTGTTTTTACTCTTGTGGAGTTTTTTTTTTTTAATTACAGTACGAAGAAGAAGAATTTAAATTACTGAAGTATAGTATGTAACAATGTACAGAAGAACAATATTCTAGTGAAGTTAATTTTCCTATTATTATAGCTTCTATTTGAATTATGTTACTTTCTACTTATTCGCTATTTGAAAAACAGGAATTAGCAACTGACAAATTATGTAGCTAAATAAAGTATTCCATCGTTAATCCTATCTAGCAACGGACATTGGCAAAGTGAAAAATTTCCCTAAGGGAGTTCAAACTTGAAAGAAGTAAGAAAATATTCCTCTAGAACGAGTGTTCATTATATGTTATATACCTTTACAACTTAATATTTTACTTACTTATGTACATGGTAAAATTTTTCGAGAAGGGTCGTCAATTGACACCCTTAGGACAATGTAGCTTCACCCCTGGCGACAGCTTAACGACAAATTGTCAAGAAGTTCCGTTAGCTACGAGTGATTTAGCGATAAATTAGCGACGAATTTCGTAGATTTCCTTTTTAAGTGATTCTTCCATATATCCTCTATTTTGTGTTCATCATTTAATGGTATACTTCTTCTCATGAGTTGAATGAGAAATAAAGGTGCTTTTGTTTCCTCTTTTAGTTATTCTAGCGAAAAAGAAGCAGAGGGATTTTTTTTTCTTCAAGAAAAATTACAATAATTAAGCTTAAATGATTTCACTTTCACAGAAATCATGGCCATTATAAGCATAAAATTCAGTAAATATTTTGTCTATGTATAGATGTGGGTGTTTGTAAATGTGATTTCTCCTTTTGGTAGAGAGGGTTCTAATTCTATAATAAATGCAAAATTTCGTCTCTATTTATTTGACATGCTTCCCTTCTCGAGAATCATTTTAATTAATTTTTGAAACTAAAATAAATTAGATTAATATAATATTTTAAAATTAAAATTTAAATATTTAAAAACTATACTAAAAGTATTATAGTTGTAATTTTTCTCATGACAATATGATTAAGAAAACATTTTAAATATTGGCAAAGCTCACATAATTTGAATTTCGAGAGAAGCGAAAAGTGACACATAATTTGGGACCAACGGTAATATACCTAATTAGTTATTTTGATATTTGAGCAAATATTTCTATAAATTGCTACCATAATGATATTGAAAATGAGAACACAGCTTGCAGATACTATTTTCAGCTAATTATTTATACAAGTTTACGAGCATGGGGATTTGCAATTATTTAAAATAAAATTAAAAATAAAAAGCAATGAAATACCTTAACATTATATATATCTCGGGTGATTCCCGCCATTCCTACTTTTCTTTATAGAAGAACATATATTACACTCCAAAAGAAAAACAGAAAAGTAAAAGGAAGAATATAAAAGTTGTAACTTATTACAAGTAAAAAATAATTAACTGTTCGTGTTATATTCCTTTAAATTATTAAATAATATAAGTTTCAAAATATCGTCTCAAAGATTTCATGAAACACCCGTGAACTTTGAAAACATTGAAGATACGAGCCTTTAAGGAAAGTAATTAATAGTAGTAACTTTATTCTTCTTTTTTTTTTTGAGCTTTTAATATAATTATTAGGCTATGGGTAGAAGCAAAATTTTCGCCAAGAAGATTTCAAAAATAAAAAAATAATTTTTTTTAAAAAATACTTGAAAAAATTAAGAAAATTCAAGTCTAATATATATATATATATA